TTGGTGAATGATGAACTCACCAACTGCATGTCTGAAGCAGAAAAGAAACACTTGCATTAGATTTTGAATCAAAGTTAAGGGCAAATCTTCATTGAATTCACAGTCATATGTTTTTTTCCCTTGTCTGTTTGAAGCTTGGATCTGCAAGATAGAGTCTGAACATGACTGCCTTTGGCTTTTTCTTCTCCCTTTCCCCTTGTGAAACTAAAACCCTTAATGTCTTAAAATGAGGGCCACAAAATAAGAGTAAGTTGTATAACAGCACACAAGATCTTAGTGTAACATGACCTTGAAACCTTGAACATTTAAACCTACTTCAAAGCATATGAGAGCTTCACCATAAAACAGACCACCAAGTAGCAAATGTAAGCAGCACTGCATGAGGGAGAACACTCACACGAAAAGGCGATGAGGAAGGACACATCTGTCTGTCTGTCTGTCTTCCCCTGGAAGGCCATAGGACCACATACCCAGTTCCCTGGCATTTTAAACCTTTAACCTTGTTATCGCAAAGGACACCAATCAAGAGTCAGTCACACGACATGGAAACTGGCAGGGTTACGAAACATTGCCTTGCAAGAGCACACAAGAACGACACAGACAGGGCAGTAGAAACCGGTATATTCATCATCCACATGTTTCTTCAGCAGCTGCCGCCCGACTGCAGATCTGATAAAAATAGACAGTACGTCGTCCTCCCAGGATAGGGTAATGACAAGCCCTGCATTCACCAGCAGAGTCGTATTCACCGAAAATGTTCTTTTCTTTTTAATTGGCCTTGACAACAGGCGCTCATTAAACACACGTAAAAGGTTTTTGATATTTAGAGATAAGTGCCCAGATATTTACCGGCAGCTAAACAGTTGCTGTGGGAAGACATTAAAGAGCCCCTCTGGGGCAAAACCCAACAGCATCATGGGATAATTATGACAGATGAAGTCATTAGTGGTGGTGGTGGGTGGGACTAACGAAGTGAGAAAGCAAAGAATGCAGGCGCCCCCCCCCTCCCCCCACACACACATACACATACACACATACACACACACACACACACACACACACACACACACACACACACACACACACACACACACACACACACACAACACACAATCACACACAAAAACCCTTAATGGAACTTGACAGGAGCCTTATTGAGAAATCTGTTTTCAAACTGACAGGTCTTTGGGGGGGGCAATCATTTGATTGGACCAGGGGTTTGAGGTGTTCACACTTGAAATTAGTGCCTTTTATCATTTATTTTACACAAACTGCCTCCTCTGGGCACACAGGGTTTAGCCTCATCTGAAAAACATAAAAAGCGAGAGGACTGGGAGGAGCACAGAGAGAGCCGTGCGGGAGTGGTTGGAGAGAGCTGCTTCATACAGTGGGGCACTCAGCCCAGGCACTGAAACTCAGGCCCTGTCCTGGACTGCCCTGGAATTCACCGGGATTTACAGACACAATCGCCTTCCGCAGAGAAAAGCACCGTTTGTCGCTGGCTGAAATAAAGCGGCGATGAAAACTAGGTCTGCATGAATTTTGGGGCTTCGTTGCAGAGTCTGTGTTTCTCAAATGCGATGCCGCCGGTGGAGACGGTTTTGCTGCATATTTTAACGTGCTTCCTGTGTGCGCCTTTTTGTATGTGCACCGCTTGAGCTGTGTGGCACCACACGAGACGTTCCCTTGCAGGATAAAGTTATATACTTTAAGTCAGTAACTTTAAGTTACTTACTGATTGTTTGGGGGCGAGGGGTGGCGGTGGGGGTGGCAGTTTTTTCCAGATTAAACCAGTGTTAGGTTATCTGCTCAGGGAGGGGAGCTGAAGGCCGGTCTGTGCAGACCCGGGTCTGAGGGAGTCAGCAGTACAGTAATCCCTCCTCCCGTTCTGGCCACACACAGCCAGATCTCACGGATCGCTCTGTCAGACAGGATAAGGAGAGACGGCAATTGCTTTCCCCTCCCTTCAAGGGTCATTAACCCTCGCTCTGCTGGTGAGCCAGTACTGTGCAATTACTAGGTGAACTCTGAGCGAGAAGATTCCACGGCTCCAAAGATCAAAAAATTGAACATTGAAAAAAAATTCAATTTTGAACACAAGCCTGTGAGGGAACCTCCATTTCATTCTTGTGTACAACAATGACTCACTGCAAAGAGATCTGCATTTGCTCATACTTGGAGGCAGGAAAATTAATAATATCAATGTTGTTTCAGTCTGGAATTTTCTATGGCTTCTCAGAATCTCCAATATGTGAATATGAATGAGACAGATTATACCTCTGAACATTTATATTCATTGTTTCTGTGATAAACGTGCATTCGTTGACCAAGCCAAGAAAGAATTTTAGCTGTGTCTTCATTGGCTATTGGAATAGTTGAACATTCAGTTTCATTCTTAGCTGTTACATACACAGAAATAACAGATATAGTTCTTAATATAAGAGAGTACTGAAACCAGACTGTTACACCATCCCTGCCCTGTAGGGTTCTTTGCTACCATAGAACCTGTTCTGTAGGTGATTTGGCCTTTTCTGCTGACTCCACAGTGGGTGCCTCAAACTCCATGCCTGTCCACAAGGCATTTCCCATCATCCTCTGTTCTTTATTATGTTACCTGCCCAATCCTTCGCTCTACTTTGGGTGCCTGTGACATTTCTCACAGGAGAAGGCTCTGTAAATGTAAGGCCCAGCCGAGGGTTGTGTGCCACCCCTGCGCTGACAGTGCGTGTTTTTGGAAAAGCGTCAGTGCTCATGGTGTCAGGTAATCACATTGCAGCCAATTACCAGATTACACCAGCTGAGCCAGTGGAATGGGTCAGAGCAAAACTTTAGCATGAACACTGGTTCCTGTAGTTGAGCTAGTTGTCCTTGCTGTACAAGGACGTGTGTGTGTGTGTGTGAGTGTGTGTGTGTGGTTGTGTGTGTGTGTGTGTGTGCGCGTGTGTGTGTGTGTGTGTGTGTGTGTGAGTGAGTGTGTGCGTGTGTGTATGTGTGCGTGTGTGATGTGTGTGTGTGTGTGTGTGTGTGTGTGTGTGTGTGTGTGTGGGTGTGTGGTTTTCTGTGTGTGTGTGTGCGTGCACGTGTGTGCACGCGCGTGTCTGTGTGTGTGAGTGTGTGTGTGTGTGTGCGCGCGTGTGTGTGTGTGTGTGTGTGTGTGCATGTGTGTGTGTGTGTGCGCGCGTGTGTGTGTGTGTGTGCGTGTGTGTGTGTGTGTGCGCGCGCGTGTGTGTGTGCACGTGTGTGTCCTACAGGTAAGACCAGTCTGATCTCGCTCCAACGATCAGCTGTTTAAACATCCCCACTTCCCTGCACACAGCCAGTGAAATAAACCGCCTAAAACCAGCTTATCTGCCCGGCAGCTGCAGCCAGAGATGAGAGGAGCACCTGCATGGGCTCAGGGACTGCCGTGGATTACAGCCCTTTAGAGGCGTTTAAACACAGCAGTTTCACCGAGCAAGGCCGTTTGCCTGAACCGCGGTGACACCGGTCTGCGACACCTGCCACCTGACACCTTCACACACAGACACGCGTGCACACGCCCACACCAGCATGCACGCACACCCTCACACACACACACACACACACACGCACACACACACACACTCACACACACACACACATACACACACACACACTCACACACACACACACTCACACACACACACACATGCACACACACACTCACACACACACACATGCGCACACACACACACACACACAGAAACCACCACACACACACTCACACACACACACACACACACACACACACTGTTTAATCAGAAGCTGCTTCGTGACTGTCATAAAGCTGACTGAATTTGTATGAATAAACTTTTTAAATTTTCATTGCTGCCTCCACAGTGCTGTGCGACTTCAACTGACCTGAGTGCTTGAGCAGACACGCATCGTGTTCGGAAAGTGTTGTTTTTGTAAAGAATGCGGCATGCAGAGTGTAAAGATTTTGTAATAAAACCCTCGGCCACTGAATGCTGTGCAGTACAGGTGAGAGATCGTGAGAGTGGAGGCACTTCCATTTTACAAACAACTTTTTTTTTTTCTATTCACTGTTGAGAGCAAAAAAACAAACAAACACAAAAAAAAAACAACCACAACAACAACAAAAAAATCCCTCCGAAATTAATGAGCAATTGTGAACAGCTGCAAGCAAAGGGCAACAGAGAGACAGAGGGACAACGGACCTGTGTCACACGTGCCCGATCGCTCCTCTGCCTCCGCTCACAGACGCCAGGCGAGTCACGGCCGTGAACCCGATGACCTCCGGCAATTAACCCCGCGGTGACCCGCGGCCCACGCCAGTGGCGCCACTGCCGCCGCCTGCTCTGAACCGCTGAATGAAAGAACGCCCCCCCGGGGTCACTCTGGGACGACCACTAATGAGCAAAATGTAAAGGCCGCCATAATATCCATGAAAAACTGAACCAACCCCTGACCGTTTTTTTTTTTTATTTCGAGAGAACATTTGTGGAATCATGCGAAATATTCATGCGTCCGGTTATTTGTCAGAAGCAGGAAAAGAAGGTCTCTGGTGAACGTGACAAATAAGAAGTATTTTCACCAGTATTTTCACTTGCATTAAGGTGAAAATAGCACACTCAGACACACACGCAGAGACAAAGTAAACACACTTGCCAGTCTGAAACAGAACTGCACTCGCACTGACACTCGTTCCTGTGTGGTTAGTAGTGTCTTGTTTATGCAACTTCTCATGCCACATTGTCAGATGCAATGCGTGAGTCGCTCTGGATAAGAGCATCTGCCAACTGACAATGATGTTACACAGTGTAATGCATTAAGGTGAAATTAGCACAAGCAGACATATAACCAGTGAGGAAACACTTTGCATTACATTATTGCCATTTAGCAGATGCTCTAATCCAGAGTGACTTACATAGGATACAATTTTTACATGTTATCCGTTAATACAGCTGGATATCTACTTGGGAAATTCTGGGTTAGGTACCTCTCTCAAGGGCACAGCAGCAGTGCCCCAGCAGGGAATTGAGCCAGCAACCTCCCGGTTACGAGCCCTGCTCCTTACCACTATGCTACAGTGCTGCTCTTGCCAGTCTGAGATGGCGCTGCATTAAGCCAAAGAGTCATAAACACAAAGGCAGTCTGGGATGTGCCTCTGAGGGCCCTGGAGGAGTCAGACGTGCAGCTTCCTGCCACTGGATCTGCAGCAGAGCTCCTGCCGGATCCTCACCTGTGCCTCACCTGTGCCTCACCTATGTGTCTCTGCACGGCCGATGGATCGCCCGCGCTGGAACTGCTAGTCACGTTCGATCAGCAGACGAGCTCTGGTCAGACGGCACCTTCCTGCAGTACCGTGTCTGCCTGCGGTGTCAGTGTGGAGTGCTGTGAAAGGAACCAGGGCTGTAACCAGGAGCTAGCAGGAGCGGTTCACAGGACAAGACAGCACAGTTGTACCCTTGAGCAAGGAGCTTCCTCTGAATTAAATACATGAACATTATGCAAAACGCAAGCCATGCACGTTGGATAAAATGTCTCAGATAAGACCAGAGTTTGGCTTGAGGTGTCTGCAGAGCATATTAATAACAGAAGTCAGAGAGTTCGCAGTGGCATGTAAATAGACAGGTTTAGGTAAGATGTCACTAGACAGGTTGAAGTAACATGTAACCAAGCAGGTTTAAATAATATTTAACTAGACTACATTAACTAACTAGGTTTAAGATCTCATGTGGAGTTGTTATTTACCTTGACCAAAGTGCTCCACCTGGACTCCTTCTCTAAAGATCCTACCATATAACTGGATAACATGTGCACTACAACTGTGTAATATGCCCAAGATAGGGATGTCTGCAAAGCACATGAATTATTAAAAAATACAAATGCAAGCAATAGAAGGAGAAACATACATGACGAATGGATGCCCAGGGGGCGTGTGTGCCAGTCTCAGAGAGAGTATCACTGTTGGCAGATTATTTAAATCATGCATCATTTTGCAGTGAAAACAAACCCCTGCAAACTGTGGCTTGCTGCTTGCCCCCGGGCACACGTTGACCTCGGTTCTGTCGTGGCACGCGAACGCAACTGTGTCTGGGGTCTGCGTTCTGGGGAGGACGGATCGCGGCCGTCTGAATGTGCGCTCTGAACCGTGTCCGGGTGATGGCGCCCGGAAGGCCTCCCAGACGGAGCTGGCGATGTGGGTCAGCGCACGCTTTCAGACTCGTCGCCGCTGCCGAAAAGGTCGGGGCGACCCCACAGATTAGCCTTTCCCAAAGAGCAGGGTGGAGTGTTATGCAACCGCTACGCCGCCGCAGACTGCTCCCGGCAGCATCCTGCATCCCCCCGGCGCTGCAACCTACCGCCCAATCAGAGGCCGCCGACGCCATGCCCCCGCACCCCCCTCACAGACGGCCTCCGACGCACAGCGGACTGGCCACGCCCTTATCGCTAAGAGCACCGGTGCCACTGACGTCTGTTTGCAGGACGAGCGCTGTCGTCCGGGGTGACTGACACAGCTCATATTTTAAAAGTTCCTGTTTCATGCAGCTGTGCATTTTGCGCAGCCATTCGCCCAAGCGTCCAACACCAGCACGCACAACAGCAACGCTCTGATCCAGTCCAGTTCAGTTCCCTGATTACAAAGGACCTCTTTTCCACTGCATGGTGCTGTACCCAGCCGAGCAGTCTCATCTGACAATCGCGCTACTTGAACATCCACGGGCCAGGACAAAGCGGGAGGCCTGTTCTCCTAAACCCAAATGCATTCTGGGAAAGATTGATTTTGAACCTTGTTCTATACAACACCTGTGTTGGAGGTGGTTCAAATTGTCCGATTCCCCTTTTCTCCCGCGTGCAGATCTGACATGCTGCTGTTTTGGGGATAAATCTTGTATTAATTGTGCTTGCATTTTGTGTGTGTCTTACAATGGAGTCTTGCTGGGGTCACATTTTTGTGACATTTTCCTGCAGGTTCTGTTTGTATTGTACTGAAAGTCTGGCACAAGCTGTTCGACAGTCCTGTTTTGGACAGGACAGCATGTTATCGACAGCATATACTGTCTGTATTTTTAACTCACACATTGCATCCAACCAGTCAGTAAGGAAAAAAACATCAACCCAGATGCATTTCCAGCCACCTTAATAAACTACATTATATTACATCAGCGGACGTTCTCATCCAGGGTGACTTACATAGCATAAAGCTCCTTCATGCTATCAGTTTGTACGGCTGGATGGGTTATGCGTCTTGCCCAGGCGAATGAGGGCAAAGCAGCCCAGCTGGAAGCTGGAAATTGAGTTGGCGATGTTGTGAACCCGAGCACTGCCCCCCGTCAGCACCAGGCCAGGCTGCTGCCCACACATGAGCTCAGACCTGAAGGGAGGCATCTGTTTCTCCAGCGTGTGCTGCGTTGCTTTCCGGACGCCGTCACCCTGGATGATCATATTAGGTAGATCATCGGGCTGCACCGCCGGGCCACAGGTGTGACTCTCGATTCCAGCGCTGCCTCCCCACGGACGCCAGTCAGGAGCGGCATGAACACAGGTGAGCGGGTCGGGGGACAGGGGGGGAGGGGGGGGAGGGTAAGAGAGAGGGAGGGAAAGAGAGAGATGGAGAAAGAGGGAGGGAGAGAGATGGAGAGAGAGATAGACACTGAGAGTCAAACTACTGTTCCGAAAAAATGTCACTTCACCAGACCCCTTATCCCCCCCCCACCCCATGATGTTAAATTCAGTTCCTGGAGGGCCAGAGTGAGTTGTTGTTGCACATTGGGTTGTTGTTTCAGCATACATAGTGTTGGTTGTAATGACTTGTTTGACCTCACAAATTACTCGATTTTTTATTCTTGATAATATTATACATGTCCGTTGAAGACTGAACATGTGTCATGTAAATGTATCTCAGAGTGTATTACAACAACACTGATGAAACGCATCTTACACTGCTGTGCAAAGCTGTTAGACATCTGTAATTTTACTCTGAAGGATACAGACACTGAACTTTATTCATATTTCAGCCTTTTAGTCTTCATCCTTTTTTCTTCTTCGTGCTGCCACACATGGTTCATGCCTAAGAGTAACCTCCGTACTACAGAGTGATGGACAAGGACACCTAAACCTCCTGCCAGTCCTGTCGTCAGGCCAGCCCTTGTCTTCTCTCCATTCCTTAAGGATATTTCCTCTAAGTACTGCCCAACCTTCAGAGACAGCCTCATGTGTCCTTCAGACTTGGGTTTTTACTATTTCAGTTGCTACTTTTCTGTACTTGCTTCAGATACTGCTCTTTGAAACACTGTTTTTCCTTTTTTATGCAGAAACCCAATGCTATACCAATCTTCTTATCCATTTAAGTATATATGTATACAGACATACACATGCACACACACACACACACACACACACACACACACACACACACACTGCAACTCATCTGTATGCTTGAAGCTTCCTGCAGGTGCACAGGGCCAGCTAATTGGGTGAGTAGATGAAATTATGCTATTAATTCAATTCAATTCAATTCATTTTTATTTATATAGCGCTTTTTACAACACAAGTTGTCACAAAGCAGCTTTACAATGATCCCAGGTCTGAGACCCCCTGTGAGCAAGCCTAAGGCAACAGTGGCAAGGAAAAACTCCCTAATAGGAAGAAACCTTGAGCAGAACCCGGCTCAGAGGGGGAGCCCATCTGCTTCTGGCTGGCACTGGGCAGGCAGAGTTAAAAGGCAAACTTAAAGTTGAACAGAGTACTTTAAGATATTTGAGATTAGAATATAGTGAATAATAAGGGCAGAGTGATCATAAAAATGTCTTCTAGGTTGTCCAGTTCTTGAAATGCAGCTTGCTTGATGGGCAGGGCGGCGAAGTAGCAGGACTCGACGTCGGGATGAGAAGCTTGGACTACAGCTCCAGGCAGGAGCCCAGAGCAGGAATAGGAAGCAAACAGAAAACAGTGATTAGTGGGTGATAAGAATGGCAGGGGTGTAGAACAGGGAGGCAGGAGAGGAGGGGCATTGAAAGGTGCCAGTGTGCAACAAGGAAAAACCCCGGCAGGCTAACATTATGGCAGCATACCTAGGGGACGGGAGGCAAGGGACCGGCATAGTCATGAGGGCGACCCTATACTGACCCTATAGGCGACCCTATACTATTACAGCTATACTGATGAAAGCTTTTGCTGGAATGTTTTCCTGCTACACCTTTCACCTGAGTACTTTTTACACTTATGACAAGTCAATTGATAAAGCAGTTTTGACAGACCTCCGAGTCTTAATTTTTCAGTGTGTGGACAGAATAATTGAATCTGCTCTTCTAAAGCAAGGAATGGGAAAGAGGAACATGACCAACAGTATCACCACAGAACGGACCAACACAGACATCGAACATTTTACCAGAGAACTACACTCTCGGTCAGCTCCATGAAAATCAGGACTGAAACTGACCCCAGATCAGTCCTGACACTTTCCCTTCCCAGAGCGGAGAGGAGCTAACAGGAATTGCAACATCATTCCACAGACAGACTGGTCCGAAACTGACACTGTAATCTTGCTGGTTTGTTAGTGTGATTTCATCACTTCCACTTCACAGACTCTGGTTAAAAAAAAAAAAAAAAAAACAAGACAGGAAAATAAAAAGAGACAGTTGGACAGCATGAGGAAATAAAAGATCTTTTTTCCCCCTCTTTTCATTTATTCATTTGGCATTCTTTTCAAAACGGGATGGTAAATTGGACCGAAGGGAGAACCAATTAGAGCAAGTGACTAACTCAGGCTCCATGGGGCATGTCTAAGAGGGTATTTTTTTGTTTTTATTTTTGCTGTAATTTGAAATTTTATCACTTCATGCCTGTAAAAGTCACACAGGAGAGATCCGTTGTGGGCAGTGCATTAGGTCACATCACTGAAAACTCCAACGGAGCTAAAAATGGGTTTCCGCGGCGACTGCCATCCTTCCACTCACGTTTTAATGCTGCAAAGAGAAAAGGGAGCAGATAACAGCTGAGTTTACAGACTTGGAAAGGCCTGCCAATTACAGCAGCCATGCTTAATGGGCAGTCCTTTTTAAAACTCTCGCTGACAGTAGTCTGCCAGT